GATTATCAGTAGCATTAGTATTACTAATAGTAATAGTATTATTATCAGATTAGTATTAATATTTGTAAAGGTAAATGTAATAGTAATGGTAATGGTAATGATATTAGTTTTGGTATTGCTATTTTTTTTGCTATTGGTTTTAGTATTAGTACATTAGTATTGGCATTAGTACATTAATATTAGAATTAACGTATTAACATGAGTAGTAGTATTAATATTAGTATTAGTATAGTATTAATTTTAGTGTTAGTATTAGTATTAGTATTAGTATTAGTATTAGTATTAGTATTAGTATTAGTATTAGTATTAGTATTAGTATGAGGAATATGATTAAGATTGATACTAATAAAACAATTGGTATTGATATTTGTATTGGTATTAGTATTGGTTTTTGTATTGATATTTGTATTGATATTGGTTTTAGTATCAGTACATTAGTATTGGCATTAGTACATTAATATTAGCATTAAAGTATTAGTATTAGTAGTAGCATTAGTATTAGTATTAGTATTAGTATTAGTATTAGTATAAGTAGTTGTAATAGTATTAGTATTAGTATTAATATTAATATTAGTATTAGTATGATGATTATGACTTAGACTAATACTAATAAAACAATTTTGAAATTGAATTTTTTGATGACATGCTTATCCGTGATTCTGCAGATCCATTTTTTGATCTTATAGAGTTTGTTTACCTGGATATGGTGAGCAACCTGTTCAATCCTGAGTACTTTGAGGCCATAACAATTATTGCATCGGCTAATGAAAGTGTCGGTTTTGTGAATGATCATTTTTTGTCGCTCATAGCTGGAGAAGAGAAGGTTTATTTGAATTCCAATAGTGTGTACAATGAGGAGTTAATATCATAGATCCGAGTTCCTCAACACCATATCGTGCTCCAGAATTCCACCTAGGTTGCATTGAAAAGATGTATTCCCGTTATGCTCATCAAAAATATTGATCAGGCTAGAGGATCGTGCAGTGGAACTAGGCTTCAGGTTATTAATATGGGAAAACACGTTCTCAAATGCATGACACTACCCGATAAACATGTTGACCATATAGTGTACGTTCATTGCTCAAATGACATTGGTACTGTCCAACTCTACATCGCCTATTAAATTTTAGCAATGTCACTCTTCGGTGATGGTTTCCTTTGCAATAACAATCAATAAAACTCTTTCCCATGTAGTACTGCACTTGCTCAGACATGTTTTCAGTCATGGACAACTCTATGTCGCACTCTCGAGAGTTAATAGTTGAAGTGGCATAAGGATTTTGATCACGTCGGAATCTAGCGATACAACCAACTACAAATAATGTGGTACAAGGATGTTTTTCGGCATATATGAAGGTAACTATATAATTTTTTTTTACAATTTTACATAATGACCTTTATTTTGTATAACTTATATGTTTTGGCATTCCTCATTTGTAGGTTAATTTGCATTGTACTAGAAACTTGCTACGGGCTCCACTCAATATTTTTATCAAGGTAATTTATTGTAGAAATTTTATGTCATTAAATATTTATATTTGTATTATTTTGGTAACGTTTTACTTATTTTGTATAATCATTGTACAAAATAGCAGGTCAATTGCATTGTATTGGATTCGTTACATGCGTTTAGGGATATTGTAGCTGAGACACGCTCAAATAAGCTTCAACGAATCAGTGAGCTCCATCCTCTTTACTTGCCTCTACAGTATCCTCTTTTATTTCCTTACAGGGAAGATGATTATCGAGACGATATCTGTTTGAGAGAATCTTCGCTTGCTGATAATAGAAAATGGAGGAAGGTAAGCATGTGAGAGTTCTTTGCATATCTAATCCAGAAACGGCGTTGATAACATTTGTTACTTTTGCATTTCAAGAAGTTATTTCAGCAGTTCTGTGTTGATGGATTTTCGATGGTAGAGTCACAGAGGTTGAATTTCATAAGGTTCAATCAAGATCAACTTAGGGTTGACATGTACAAGGGTATCGAAGAAAATATTTTTAAAGGAGACACTGAGGGTAAATCAGTTGGACAACGCATTATAATTCCATGGTCGTTCACCGCAGGTCCAAGGTATATGTTTAACAACTTCGTTGATGCTCTTCAAATATGTAACTGGATTGGATCTACAACCCTCTTCATTGTCATCACATGCAATCCTCAATGGCCAGAAATACAAAGGGTGTTGAAAGATACAAATCTCAGGCCGGAGGATCGGCCAGACATTCTTTGTCGTGTGTTCAAGATGAAGCTCAATAGTATGATGACAGAAATCAAGAAAGGTTGTATATTCAGACGTATTACAACATGTAAGTATTTAATTAGATCTCAGTTTATAATTATACATTTACTTCATTCATATAAATTAAAAAAAATTGCTCATGTGTGAGTTTAACTACTTATTGCTTCCTTAACTAAATTAATGCATATTTTTTTAATACCATATGTTTATATTTTCTATGCAGATGTATGCTTAATTGAATTTCAGAAACGAGGTCTATCGCATGCACATATTTTATTGTGGTTTCATAATAACGATAAGACCAATAACCCAGAAGAAATTGATAGGATCATATGTGCTGAAAATCCTGACAAAGTAAACGATCGAAAGATGTACCAGTTGGTGGAGAAGTATATGATACATGGACCGTGCGGTCAGGCGAATTTGAAATCTCCCTGTATGAAGGATCGAGTTTGCACGAAGCGATTTCCAAAGCCATTTGTGCAGCGCACTGAATCAGATGCAGATGGTTTTACTGTGTACAGGAGAATGGAAGATCGCAGAACAGTTACGAAGAAGAAGACTACTCTTGACAATGGGTTTGTAGTCCCGTACAATCGTATATTGTTGAGTAAATACCGATCTCACATTAATATCGAGTCATGCAACCAGAACAAATCAATCAAATACATGTTCAAATGCGTAAACAAGGGGCATGGCCGAGTTACGGCGGCATTTTTTGAAACACGCAATACAGATAGCGGTGCTGAGATTTGTGATGAGATAAAGATGTACTACGACTGCAGATATCTTTCGGCATGTGAGGCAATGTGGAGGTTTGCGAACTTGAGTTAAAAGAGGATTCTCAAACTTGGGCGCCAAGGAAAAAAAGATTTTCTATTGGTAGGCTTGCGAATGTTCCCCCTGGAAAAGGAAAAGACTAATACCTTAGATTGCTACTTAACATTCAGAGGGGATATACGTGCTATGAGGACATTAGAAAATTTTTTGACACCGTCTACCCTACGTTCAGGGATGCATGTTATGTGTTGGGTTTATTAGATAACGACAAAGAATACATATATTCAATAATAGAAGTGAATACTTGGGCACCGAGGGATTATATAAGAAGGTTATTTGTAGTTATGTTTCTTTCCAATAGCTTAAGTCGGCCCGAACATGTTTGACAAAGTTGTTGGTTGGATTTGGCTGAGGGTATTGCTTACAAACAACAAAGTCTTCATAATAATCCAGATATGGCAAATTGTATAACACATTATTCAATTAGATTTTAAATATTACTCATCTTTTTAATATTGTCGTCTCTCACTGAAATAGAAAAAATATTGCAAAGCAATGGTAAAAGCTTGCGAAATTACGCGCCCATGCCAGTTCCAATCGAATTCTCAGCGGATGACACAGTAAACATATTGGTGTTAGATAAACTGGATTACGATCGGTTTGAAATGGGTAGGGAACTTCAACGGTGTCTTGCTTGAATTACAGACGTGCAAACAAAGATTTATGATGTAGTCATGGATGTTGTATCCAATGACCGTGGTGGAATGTTCTTTCAATATGGCCATGGTGAAACGGGAAAGACGTTTATATGGTAAACTCTTTCGGCTGCAGTTCGTTCCAAGAGAGAGATTGTAATTAACGTTGCATCGAGTGGTATAGCATCATTATTGCTCCCCGGTGGAAGAACAACTCATTCTCGATTCAGACTACCCATAAATGTACACGAGAGTTCCACCTGTAGCATATCGCAACAAAGTCCACAGGCGGAGTTGTTCATAAGGGCAAAGCTTATTATATGGGACGAGGCTCCTATGATGCATAGATATTGTTTTGAAGCGCTTGACAAGACAATGAAGTCAATATTACAGGTTGACAAACTCTTTGGTGGTAAGGTGGTTGTTCTTAGAAGAGATTTTAGGCAGATTTTACCAGTTGTGCTCAAAGCATCAAGGCAGGACATAGTACATGCTACGATAAACTCCTCTCCGCTGTGGAATTTCTGTCGTGTCATGAAGTTGACTAAGAACATGAGATTGCAGTCATGCTCTTCTCCATCTAACGTGGATGAGGTAAAATAATTTGGAGACTGGATACTGAAGGTTGGTAGTGAAGATGTTGGGGAACAAAATCATGGTGAAGCTTCGATAGTGATTCCCGATGACATGTTGATTGGTGATTCAGAAGATCCATTCAGAGACCTACTGGAATTCGTTTACCCGGATTGTTGAGTAACATGTATGATCCAGATTATTTTCAAGGGAGAGCAATTCTTGCACCAACTAATGAATGCGTCGAGTTTGTGAACGATCACTTAATGTCTCTCCTTCTAGGAGAGGAGAAGGTGTACCTGAGCTCAGATAGTATGTTTAGGGACGAGCAAACAATGGAGGATAATGCAGAAATTTATTCGACTGAATTCCTCAACACAATAAGATGCTCCGGACTTCGTTCTCATGCGTTGAAGTTCAAGATTGGTGCACCCGTTATGCTAATAAGAAACATCGATCAAGCTAAAGGATTGTGTAACGGGACCAAACTTCAAATTATTAGAACTGGCATTCACGTTCTGAGTTGCAAAATTCTTTCCGGAAAAAATATCGGTGACATGGTGTTCATTCCTCGGATGACTTTAATACCATCTACCGGACTGCCAATTAAATTTCAGAGAAGACAGTTTCCGTTGATTGTTTATTTTGCAATGACAATCAATAAAAGCCAAGGTCAAACTCTTTCGCATGTTGGTTTGTATCTTCCTAAGCATGTCTTCAGCCATGATCAACTATATATTGCACTGTCCAGAGTTACGAGCAGAGGTGGCATTAAAATATTCATCAAGTTGGATTCGGGTGAACTCACCAATGTTACTAGAAATGTCGTGTACAAGGAAGTATTTCATCGAATTTGAATGTAGATAATATTTTCATATTTACCAATTATTCATGTAACATGTCTTTTTTTTAACAACTTATTCTTTGGCAGGTGTTTCTTCTCTATATAATTTCCCCCGTGCGATGTTATTTTCAGTCATGTCCCTAGGATGCTCAGTGCAAATTTTATTATCTTTAAGATTTATTTTTGACGATATACTAATATTTAATATTATTCTTATGATGTAACTATGAAGAACATGATGCTTCAATATTGCTGGTCGCGTTTTGTTTTTAAATTCAATGAGCGTAATAATTTATATATGCGTAAATTTATTTTTTAGACATGTATTTCCAGTTGAAAATATGTCACCCCGTGCATCGCACGGGTGAATACTAGTACCACAAAAAGTAATAACATTTATGTTAGTAAAAAACAAAATCTACCCATGCAGATGTTAATAATTAATGTATTAGAGAGAACAATATCAAAATGGGGGTGTAGCTCATATGGTAGAGCGCTCGCTTCGCATGCGAGAGGCACGGGGTTCGATTCCCCGCACCTCCATTATTTACTTTTTTATATGGTTGATTTTATTGTTTTTTTTTGGCAATGTATTATTGTAAATTATTTCCCCTTCTCTGTGGCACGTTATAAATTATTTGTGTTGGTTACTCTGTTAATAATAGCCCTTAACGAACAATATTTTGAAGTAACATAATGGAAATTGGAAACTACTCAATGATGTTTTGATTTGGTTCATACAATATTTTGAAGTGACATTGAATTATTCGAAGATGAATTGTTTTTCTTATTAAAATTGATGGCCCTGTTCAAACATAGTATATCATAGAACTAGGGGTGGATCCAGGAGGTTTTGGGTGGGGGGCTAAAAAATTTTTTGGGGTAAAATGGTATAAAATTTTAATTTTGGAGGGCTAAAGTGTATAAACTAATACATAAATAACCCAAAATATTGCAAAAGAAAAAAAAAAAAAAAAAAAAAAAAAAGGTAAATTTTTTTTTTCTGCAGGGGCGGCCCCCTCTAACACATGCCTTGGGTCTGCATAGAACTAAGTACTATCGTTGCGCAATCAGTTTAACATCTTTCAATTGTGAATGAACTACCAAATCAAAGCGCTGGCAAAAGATTCTAACTAAAAATTTACACCTGAAGAAAATTTGGCAAATATAATCTATAAAGAATATTGTCACGTAAAAAGAATTGAGACTCTATCAATAAACAACTCCTGCATGTTCGTATACGAAAGGGAAATAAATAAATAAAAATAAAGACAAAGAGTAATTAATGGGTATGTATGTATATAAACTATCTATTTGGACCAGGCTACAGAATCAATCTCTGATTGAGCAGCTCTGTATAACTCCAGCCTCTTTGCAATAGAGACACGACGCTGCATAATTGCCGGATCCTCGTCTAATAATTTACCCAACTGTCTCGCCTGGATAGAAAGCCAACTAGATAGATTAATGGAATTGTGTGTTGTGTAATATTATTACCTTAGTCTAATCCTATCTTGGCAACCAAAAGAATAGTGCATGAAGAAATTCATACCTCTTTTTTGCCTAATTCGGCGAAGAAATGATCTAGTAAGCTGCGCTTCGCCTCTCGGACTTGACAATAAACTATAGACTTGGGAATTGAGTTTCTCAAACTTGCACAAACCATATTGACATAGGACAAGACAGTTGAGCCTGAAACGAAAAAGTGTTGAGGTATTATTATTCAAAACTCGACGAAATTAGCATATTAAAGAAAATCTTGAAAGAAACACGAGTCGCTACACTCACCAATTCGTCGAAGATAGGAGTCGTTATATCTATCGAAAACCGAGTGCGTTGGATTGCCACCCTTCTCGACATCCTGAGGAAGCTTCCGGAAGAAATCTACAGTCAAGTAACTGTTTTCCATTTCAACTAGCTGTAGAGTTGCCCTCTTGCTTTCTTCCTTCATCCTGTCTAATGATTCTACAGCAGCATTTCCAACTTCCACTCTCAGTGAAGGGTACTGCTTCAGCTCCTGCAGGCAAAAAAGGAAGCCTATTAACAACAACTTATATTCTCTAGCATTTTATGTATTCACAAAGTTAGGTACTTACCACAGTCTCGTTAATTGACTTATGAACTAGTTCTTTAAGTATTGCATGAACCTGAAAAGAGGGAAAATACCAACAAATTTACAGTGCAGATAAACCAACATAATAAAGAATAAAACTGTTAAACCAAAAATATATACCGCATCGACAGAGGCCTCAGCAGGACCCTTGATTGTAATCAAGGCAGTTTCAATGAGACGACGATAGCCCTGTTCAGGTGCTATAAGATGAGGTTGATAACCATCAGCTTCAGTTATTAATTTCCGAACATTTTCCATTGCCAGATGCTTGTCAAACTGCAAGCGTTTCAATGCACCAGGTAGTTGGTTATCAAAGACGCTGTATATTTTATCACCACCAGGTCGACTGCAGAATCATTTCACAATAAAATATGACGATAAGAATAGATCATTGCATACTACAAATTTGTTTAGAAAACACAGATGCATACACTCCATCAAGATGCTCCTTGAATATTCCATCAAATATTCGGCAGATTTCCATAATCATGTACAATTTTCCCTGCAGTAACAATAAGGGGTAGGAAATATGAGGGTTCTTCACTGCAGGTACGAGTTTAAGAGTAAAATAAAAATTCTTCCAAATAAAGGGATATTAACTAGGCAATAAATGGTAAATCTTACTTACTCCAGCATCAGTTGCAATGGGTTTTCCCAAACGGCTCAACTCAGATTCTAGCTCAATAATAGTTTTATTGATGAGTGACTGAAGTCCTGGAATTCGAGATTTGATAACAGCTTCCAAATGCTACAAGATGAAGCAGCTCGAATTAATACATAAATTAAACTTCATACATCAACGTAATTTTGAGACCAGCACGTTTTTATCAGTAAGATAGGAAGGCATCACTTCGGAGTGATGCTTGCTTACTTTGGATAGAACTTTCCCTAGATGCTCAGAGCCCATTCTAGCAGCAAGATGTTGATACTCCGGGGTTTGAGCAAAATACTCACGCTCTCTACGCCGAGCAGCAATCATGTCTACGTTTTTGTTAATGTCGGCTTGAGAGCGATTAACAACACCTATCCATGGGAACTGCAGCTTATATGATTTTCCCTCCAGAATCTAAAACGAAAAAAGAGATAGAACAGTTAGAGTATATTCTCATCCTTCTACAACAATAATAAAAAGTTCTTAAGGACATAAAAGTCAATCACTTTTGGAAACGACAGTATAATAAATTATCAAAGTCGACAAATCCTCATTTTTTCTGTTTTCTTGAAAATATGTCCAGATTAGTGGTCTCAGTTTTCAACTTACATCCACAGCATCTGTACCCTTGTCCATGAGATCAATCTTTGTCAATACTCCAAAGGTTCTCTCTCCTGAAATAAGACAAATATATTGTCATAAACTCCATTTGAAAGATGCTGCTGGTAAATAAGCCATACCTTTTGGATCCACTTCACGAGAAATTTTTATAGCATCGGATGTTGCAAGATCTTGGTTGGCAGGTGAAACTGCCAGAATGATACAGTTGGGCTGCAATCGATTTTTTCAACAATAATAAATTAGTGAAGCACAGTCACCTTGAATTACAAATGAAACTAGACTAAACCACAATCTCAGAATAATCCTCATAAATCGTGGGTAAAACAATTAATTCAACTTTACTGCAGTGAACCATAATTTTTTTTAACCACTTTCTCCTCTTAACATCATAGAAAAAGAATAAACAAAAAATCGTAAATACCTTTTCAATATAAGATCGCACCATGTTCTCAATGTCCATCACAATGCTTTCAGACTGCCCGTCTACGATATAACAGGACAACAATCGTTACAGTTATTTAGAAGAGAAAATGTGACAAAAGTGAAAATAGCTAGTTCAAATGACAAGACAAATCAAGAGAAAAAGACTTACCAATAGCCACTTTCGTAAGCCCAGGAAGATCGATCAAAGTCAGATTTACAACTGCAATTACGAGAAATATGCAAATCACTTAATACTTAATAAGCATATAAGGAGAATAGGGTTTCATGCTTTACATTAAATGTGATTTCATAATTCAGAAACTAATGAAGCAAACAGTGAGCACCAAACAAATGTTTCATACATATAGCATTGCATTAGGAAATGACTGCATCCAAATTATCCTGCATTCATTTTATTCGACACATGAAATAAATGCTACCTACCTAGAACTTTTACTATTCTTTTCATTTTTCATTGCGGGAGAGTTTTTTTTGGTGATATAGCATACTGTAACCTCAGATTCTTAAATCAGAACGTTCAAATGCCATGTTGGAGTCGGACTCACCGTTAGGTGAATAAATGCTGAGATAAATAGGAACTGTAGATATTTGTTTGGAACGCCCTGTCTCTCGATCAGTCTCGTCACCGATCTCCTTTCTCACAGCAGCTGTAGAAAGCATATTAGTGTCAAAGATTTACAAAGCCTGGGAATGTATGGTAGGCAAAGGGCATTTATCGAATAATCAAGTATTAGCAGATCTCGTACTACAGCATGACAAACAAACAAAAAAAGGTCTGGATAAAGTGATTGAGAAACCAAAGTAATTATATTCCATAAAACTTACCAAAATCAGAGAATTTCTTCCTAGGAAGATGTCCAAACTCTCCATATTCTCTACCTTCATCAATCCGATGAAGCTGCAGGACTAGTGGACGTCGAGTAACAATACCTGTGGTTTATGAAAAAAAAAAATCAATTGTAATATTTTCGACATAAGCACATAAGGTAAGTTGGAGTAAATGGCATTACATATCCCGATGCACCAATAAATATGGAATGACAGTAGTTACCAGATCCACGAGGTAAAAAATCCTTCCCAACAATGCTCTCCAATACCGAGGACTTTCCGGAACTCTAGAACCATAAGATGTCAGTGTCACTTCAAACAATTTGATAAAGTAAATCAAGTTGTAAAAAGGTCCATCCGATGACAAATGAAAACCATAAAAAAACTACCAGCTGGCATAATTGATAATACAAGTTACAAAAACACAACGAAGCACCAAATCACATCACATATTAAAATCTATAAGTCCACATCCACTATGCATTTCAAACAAAAGTCAGAAGATTGGACCTCTGGTTACAAATAAAAATAAACAAATTCCAGTGCAAAACAATTCGAAGGCCAATCGGAACTCAATTTACATAAAAATTGACGTATTTAACAACAAATTAGTATATCGGACGACGTCCCTTCTCAGCTCAAATCGATCGGCATTACAAAATCGCAGATAAAACCTAGACACCAAAACGAAATCTAAATATATAAATTGAGGAATTCTTATAATACCTGACCGCCGACGACGGCAATTGAAGGAAGGGCATCCCAGAGAGTGGGCAACGCGCTCTCGTCGCCGTGGTCGCCGAGCGCGGTGCATGCTCTCTGAAGTCTGTTGACCAATGCTATCAGATTCTCCATCTCTTAATTTATTTATTTAAAAAAAAAAATGTAAGAAATTAAGGAAAATATAATGCTGCAGATCAAAAGTATAGAAATCGGAAAGGGAGAGATAGAGTGAATGGGAAATGGATAAAAGTAGAGAAATAGTTGAATGAATCCAAAGGTGGCGATATATGGTAGATGGTTGTGGACGTCGGAAGGGAAACCATTAACCATCCATGCTTTTTGGATTTTGAATTGAAATAATCAGAGCCAAAAGCGTTGTTACAGAAAACTGCGACACCAACTAACAACGACTTTAGTTAATGGGCCAATTTTGGGTCTCTTATCTCAAAATTCTATTCTATATTTTTTATTTTATTTTATTATTATTGAAAATTTGTTAATTTTATAAAAAAACTGAATTTCCATATAAAAATAGTCTGCATATAAAAGATGAATTTCCATATTTTACTAAAACACAAAGATATAGTATTATATTACAGTCATGTGAATAATACTACTAATAAGAAATGAATTCCTGAATAAAAATGGAATTTTCAATAATAATACCATTACCCTGCTTTACAAACTTAGCATTGTGCACTGCTTTGACGACTACTTGTGTTGTGGCTATTTGCCATGGTGTGGACTGATTCTTTATTTCCAGTTTGTTGGGGGACTTGTTTACCACATTTTTTAGGTAAAACTATTCATTTGGTCATCAAAAATTGCCATAAAATAGATCCACTAGAAAATTGTTGAATATCAATTTATGTCTTCATAATTTATAGCTTCCAGTTTGAAGCAAGAGTTCATCAATTCCAAATCAGTTCAAGAAATAGTTGTTTACTTTTCAAGAATGTAATAATAATATTAGTTAATTGAAAAAAAGATGATGTTTCTTTCAGCTTAGATGATGGATGAAAAAAATAAAGAGAAACCCTTAATTAATTACATAGATAGATTGGGAATGCATACACCATCCGGGCCTTGTTGTTCCTTCCATATTCGGCCCGTTACACGAAGCTTGAGCTCTTTCCTCTCACCTCCTGAGAAAAAAAGTGCCATGTTTCTCTGTATAATGAGTCCATCGTGACTGTCACGAACCTTTCTGTGACCGTCTCTAACGCTTCGTGGGGTCCCCTCCCATGTTAGTTTCCTTCCATTTCCACCCACTTCCAAACTGTAGCTGTAGTTACGAGCATCTGCTTCGTCTCCCATGAATCGCAGAAATGCCATGTAAACTGGGGCCATCCCTAGTTGGAATGCTTCGAAATGTAGACAAAAATACTGCCCAAAACAATGGAAAACCTGTCCACAAGATTTATATCTGTTACATTACATATCAAATTTGAATCCACATTTCAGATTACAAGTTGTAACTAGGGGTGGAAATTATAACGTAAATTATCAAATTCCGCCGCTGATTTTTTTTAATTTTGGAACATTATTTTTTCATTCGGAATCCCATAAGTTATGATTTCGATTTTCGTTTTCCCGAGAATTACACTTTAGATATCAATACGATTATGTATTCTATATAACAGGAGGATAAAAAAAAATGGATATCCCAAATTTCGTCAATTCTGGGCCGAGAATTTTCGATTTTGGAACAAGTTCTTACTTTCAAATTTTCAAAATTCCGATTTTCGATTTATCCAAAAAAACCGGAACGGAATTGGAATTAGTTTTTCAACTCCAAAACATATTGGAATGTTTCCTAACAGATGAAAAAAATTCAACATTTGCATGCAGACAACAAGAGCCGTCATTGTACATTCGTAATTTTAGGCACTGTGTATGATTGGGCAGATATGTTAATGAAATAATTGGACCTTATTCGACGAATAAATTTCCATGCACTCCCAAAATTTTGGTCTTATCAGCTTATTTTGGCTTACCCTTGACCCAACTATACAATTGGGCACTCGTAAGATTGTACTAATCCCGTAGTAGCAACTAAACGACACCTTAACAGATGCAATACACTCACTATTAGGTGAAATAGCCACTAAATCCCTATATAAGGAAAGGAGGCAAAAAAAACCCGGCATTGTATGCATACCTTAAAGCTAGCTAATCATGCTTCACAATATGATTTAAAAAGTTAATTCGAGGTAAATGGATATTACATATTCGAGAGAAATAAACAAATAAATACTCACAGTTAGCATCCAGGTGGCATTCTCTACATCTCGAGGGTTGGATTTAACATAGCGATGATTAAACGTGCAACCAGAATGCATATCGACTTTGTGGTCGTCTCTGAGGTGAGAAACCAGGTATGGAATATCCCCAATAATCGAGCACTCCGATCCAGCGTACGGGCAGTTGTAAGGCCTGAAATTGCAAAGCGCCTCGTGCTTCAACTTGCTGTAGTAAGGGAATATTTCAGGGCATCCAACTGTAATGAACTTGCAAGGCAGTTCGAGAGATTCAGCCACTTTTTCTAGCGCCAAACAACGTATGTCTCCGAGTTCTTGTCTGCAAGTTGGGCATCTGTTTTGAACCCTAATTTTACAGGTGGAGCAGAGGGTATGCCCATTGTGGCACTGCAGTATAATTAATAACATTTGAATGATCAACAATTGAGCAAATTATTACCAAATTAAGATGGGATTACATAAATTTCCTAAAGTAAAATGCAGCACCTTTGAGCATATTACAACATAAAAACAAAAAAAAGATTGAATCTTGCAATAAAAACCTTAAATTTTTCATATATAATAATCAATTGGGGTTTGACATGAGTTTCCTACAAAAACAACATTGCGACAATAGAAATTGATATAGTAAAGAGAAAAAAATTGAATCTTGAAAACAATGAACAAACAAAAAAACCAATAAATCAGGATGAAATCAAACCTGGTGAATAGGAGGGTACATAGAATTGGTACAAACAGGGCATTCAAGAAGTTCATGAACACTTGTGGTGGGTGGATGAATGTTGTGAAAAATGGGCTTTGGAGAAGGAAACATAGAAAATGAAAGGGGGTGAGAGATCTCATCTTCATCCATCATGCTGCTATCAACGGTTGATATGCATTCAATGCTAGATTCCATTCTTCAAAACCCACCCTCTCTAAGCTGAGAGGTAGGTAAAGGTTTCCTCCTCCTAGATCAATTTGTTCTGCATTTCTTGATATGTTGATCCCAGGTTTTTTGAATTTTATTTTGGCATGTAAAAATGGAAGGTAAACAGAAAAGGAAAAGCAGGAAGAAGAAGAAGAAGAAGGTGCTTTTCTTGATGCCTGTCTATGGGAGGAGAGAATCTGTAAAGGGTAGTTTGGATTAGGAAATTTGATCGACTTTTTTCACTTTCCCTTTTTCTTTTTGTTTGCCCTTGTCTCTTTTCTTTTTCGTTTTTCAGATTTTCTTTCTATTTCATTTTCTTATGGCCATTAAAATGTATTTTAAATACAAGTACATATTTTTATTTATTTGAATTAATATACATTAATGTAGTAAAAATTAATATGATGCATGTTAGTTGATAATTGTAATTGTGAAAGGATATTTAAATAGAATAAGTGGTAGAGAAGGTTGCCACGACTGAACAGTTTGTCCTTGATATGGAATTTTAATGATATGCACAATATAATGGGACATAATATAATACTAATAATTTTAATTATTAATATAATAATAAATGTATCATGTATGTACACAGACAGACAGAAGTGTTTGAATATGTGGGCCTTGTTTTGGATGCCCAATTTGTGTGAATTTCACATGTTTGTGACTTGTCCACCTCTATTGGGCTCAATCCAAATTCATTTTAAATACATAAATATTTGGGGGAGATACCAATTTAGATTGACATGTTACACACTCTGATGAGTGTGTAATAATAGCTAAAAAGAAACGAGGAATGTCTTTTAGATTCGTAATAAATGCAGCTCTGCTCTTTTAAGCATATATTCTAAGACCCACCCTTTTTTTTTTTTTTAATTATTAAAATGCTAATCCCAGAATTGTATATTTACATCATGAAAATTGAAAATGGATATACATTATACACATTAGCAGAATTTGATTATAATATTTAGAAATAAAATGGAGATGAGACGTGGCAAAATAGGATTGGTGAGATGGGATATTCACAACTTAATAATAAAAGTGAGAAAATAGGGTCCGTAGATTACGGTGCGGTGGGCAGAGGCACATGGGCTTACTGTACGGTGCAGGGGACAATGAATCACTCAAATAATAATAATGAATACTCCTATTTCTCCTCCAACAATTTAAATACTATTAAATATCCAATTACATAATGTATATGTATATATGAAGATAAAAGTGTATAAAGGGTGGAAGGATCCAACAACCCTGATTAAAAATGACGAAATCAAACAACACGGTTGACCAACTTTACCTTTATTTTCATACTACAACCTTTTTTAATTCTTCAAATTTTGTCACTGCTTCCAACTTTTCATTAATTCGTAACAACAAACATTTTATCACATTATTTATTCCTAGTTTCTCCCTAATCTCTCCTCTCCTCTCCTCTTCTTCAATAAAGACATTAATTAGAGAGATAGATAAAAAAGAAAATAGGGATATTTTAGTTTAAGCACAACCCCTTGGAGCGAACCCGACCCTATTACCCGCCAAGTCGAAAACGACCCGGAAACCCTGCTGCTGAATATTACCAATAATGGACAACCCGCTCATTGTCCCTGCAAATGCGAAGCAGAACTTCCCCTCACTGTCCACCGGAATCAAGTAATTCGACGCCGGCAACGACACGTCAGCTCCCTCCAAATGCAGAACCACCGTCGGCACCTTCACCTCCGTCTTCCCTGACAGATCAAAGCACGTGTCGAACAGAGAGAATTCTGAGCTCCTCTTCAAGTTCGACGCCCCAATTCGGAAAGCATCCCTCAGCGCCACGTAAGCGGGTCGGGTCAGTCGGGTCACCGACGTCCCCGAATCCACTATCACCCCCCCGTTGCCAGTCGGGTCCAGCTTGAAAAGCGACGCCGCGATTCCCGGGACACGCGTTCCGCCGACCGAAACGCCGTTTAGACCTACGTAGAAAAATGTATCCAGCTTCGGGTTGGTCAGTAACGGCGTGAAGACGGCGTTTCTGGAAACGGCGGATTCGCCGAACACCATGGAAGACGGCTTGGATGAAGCCGACCGGTCCACCAAGCAGTAGGAGAACTTCCTCCCGAATCGGCTGCCGGCTTGAGTAGGAAAAGACAACTTCCCACGGCCCAGGCCCAACAAACCGGCGGCGCCGACAAACAAACCCTCGTTGTCATGTCCGCAGCCGAAGGCGACGTTATCAACTTTCGTCTTACGAAACGTCAGCGTTTCAGTTGAAAATTCGCCGACGGTGAAGGAACCATCGCCGTAAGAAACCTGGTAAAGGCACTTGTCCCGGTTGTTGCAGCCTGGGGAATCGAGCCGGCGGCAAACCGGGGAGTGGCAGGTGAGTCCTAAAAAGGAGGTGGACGATTTGGGGTCGAAAACAGGGTCGGACTGAGAGTAGCATTTCCTGCAAGGGGAGCACTGAACCCAAACGACGTCGCTTCCGGTGTCGAGCACCATGTAGACATACTTGGGCGGAGTGCCTATCCCGATGCGCGTGAAGTATTCGCCACTCCCTTGCGCGAGCCCCGAAACAATTGAGCTGCTGAAATCACCTGGCCTGCCGACGGAGACGTTAGCGATGGTAGAGAGAGCTCTGACCCTAACGGCGTCACGGCGGAGACGGAGTTTGAAGAGGGATTGAGGGGTTGAACTGAAAGCTGCTGATGCTGAAGGGGGGAGATTGTCGACATGGTGCAAGTCCAGTGAGAGAGTGGTGTCGGATTCGGGTCGGATTTGGGAATCGGATTGTTGCTGAGTGGGCCAGGAAAGAGATTGGGATTGGGGGTTGGGGAGGGAAGTGAGGACGAGGGTTTGGTAGTGGAGAGGAACGGAGAAGGTGACGGAAACCGTGAGGAGAATGACGACGGATAACAGTTTTCCGTCCATATCTTGATGAATGAGAAGAGAGAGTGAGTTAAGGCTTCGGAAGTATAAATAATGGCCAATGGATTGGTGGGGAATTGGGAAAATTGAAATTGAATTTTATTTGGTCATTTTTTGTTTTACTATCAATATGTTACAGCAGATAAACATCAACATAATTATTATTGTAATAGTATAAAGTTAAAATTTGAAAACCAGCCCGCCCGTGAACAAGTAGAAGAATTGAATAGTTTGGTGAAGGATGTTTGTCTGTTCTGTTGTCCACCACAAACTAAAGTTTTGTGAAATAATTAATATTGGAAAAAAGCAGACCATTTATGAAACTGCCCCACCTACCAACACAATTGTAATTGAGATAATCCTTCCGGCCCGGCCCGTTTTGGAGTGGCCTAGCCCGCCATGTTTATGTACCTACTACTAGCACCCCAATTATAGACAAACCTTGTACCAAAATGGGCTATCTGTTACAGACCGTCGTCGGATTTACCTGTATACATTTTAAGATTAATATTACATATTCGTCGGTAACAAATTAGATTTCTTTTTTTCAATTGTAGAATTTATTTTCCCCATAAGAGAGTGACTTATGCGACATTTACATAAATTTAATAAGAAATCTATTTTGTCCACGTCTCATCTTGTCAACCAATCATCTCTATCATTCATGCACAATGGTAGGTGTTCTCCATTAAAAAAATGAGTAGATTTGATTTTTAATTACTCTTCATTGAATCTGGTATGCATATACATATTTGTGTCCTGTCTCTATTTGCCACTACATCTACAATTTTGTCATACCAAATAAAATAAAAAATAAATAAATGTTAGATATTTGTATAGAAGCAATGCCAACCAAACGAGTCAATAAGTCGTCATAACAATCAACACGTTTTTACATACACGTTAACATGTACTCCTCATTTCCATTAAACAAATCACCTTCCTCTATAAATCATTTTGTTAATCTACCAAACTAACTATATATTATGTGAACTAATTTTACCACCCATACGGCCGACATTCTAACCCTGGTTCCACAACCAAAAACATTCAATCTCACAACACAATCATCTATTTATTTCATTATATAAAAAAATAACTAGTTTTTGCAAAAAATTGAAATTCTGGGTATTACTATAAACGAATAGCTGATCACTAATCTACTAGGTTAAAAACTGTATATCAAAATCTTGCAACCCCCATTTAATTAGTTCACTACACATAATTTATGCCTTGTGACTTTGTCAAATAAAAAAACATACACTTCTATTACCCAACATAACACAAACTGCTATAAAGATTTGGACTCACCGGAAAAAGCTTCAATCAGCTTATCCTTAGTCAGCTGTTCCGATCCTTGCGAAGATTTTACAACAAACGTGTGGAACACTTCCTCACTCCCTGCAGCAAAATTTGCATCCACGATAGTTGCATTGGCATTCTTGATTGCTTCTACGACTCTCGATACAGGGTGACTGTCCAATGGGCAGATGACCTTCACAGTCACTTCGTCACAGCCAGTTTCAATATCGATCCTCGGAGCACAATCTTGTATCTTCGTATTTGGCGCTGTTATTACCCTTTCGTCCTCGGATTCCATGTCCTTGAGCTTCTTCTGAAGTTCGGTTATGTAAGCAATCGCGTCCCCTAAAAGGGAAGCTTTGTCCATCTTCGAAATATTCGGCACAACCGCTCGAAGTGCGTAGAATCGCTGGTTCAGTTTCTCTCTCCTCTGCCTCTCTGCCTCAACATGATTTAGAGCTTCTTCTCTTCCATTGGCTGGCTTTCGCCCACGCTTCCTAGACCTATTGTCTCCCGATATTCCAACACCCTCGTCAACATCTGAATGCTCCGATTCTGCACTACGTGGCCTGGAAATAACAGTTCTTGAAGTAGCTCCACCGAAATCAATCTGCATTTGTGCTGGCTTCTTTTGAGTCTGAAAATTGCTGAATTGATACTCTTTTTTCGCCATGTTGACAAGCTCGTGTAGATTATTCGATGGGGGGTTTACGGGTTTTACGTTACCGTACTGCGTCCATCCTAGAAAACCGTTTTGAGTGTTCGTGAAAGGAAGTCTATTATTATCTTCGACTTTCCCAACAACATTCTTTTGTCTAAATTGCGTATGATTAGAATACATATCCTGTCCGAAGATCTTGGGAACTACTTGCGTGTCTTTCTTGTTGTCGGTTGTCACTGCTACAGCAGCAGCTTTCTTTGCTCTAACGAGTCCAGACAATGACGAGAATGAAGATCTAATCAAATTCACGAGCTCCAGACTTTCGGGAATACATTTCACCGAACCCAATTCAACCACACCGATATCAGTTGGAATCAAGGCAACAGTTCTCACACCAGCCAATTTTGCAAGAAAAGAACGAAAGCAATAATCGGTTGAAGACTTCAATGTATCGGAAAACCAGACATGCTTACCGGATCCGAGGCATCTACCGGGCCCACCTTCTCCCCTCGAGAAAGAAAAGTACATTGATGCTAAGAAGAACATCTCAGCATCTGTAACCTTATCCAATCCAAAGGCATAGCTATCCTCGTCGGTCCCACCCGAAGACATATGCAATTTCTGGAGAACCCTTTTCCTCATTCTTTGCTGGGATTCATCTTCGAGTCTCATATTGAGTATTCGAGCAACTTCCGAGTCTTCTTCTTCACGAGGCTCTCGGCAACAACCGTCGCCCCACCCTAAAACCAGGTCTCCGGTTTTGGATTTGGAAAGCTGCCAGAAAATGGCGTAGTTCCAACTGAAATTGGAGGAATTAGGGCGCTCCACGAGATCTGAGAGCTTGTTCTGCAGATTCTCGTTATTGGCCATTGACATCAAGGAGCTTTGAGCGGTGACGAAGTTTGACATTAAGTATTCAAAAGCTTTGGTACCCAAAACCGCAGCCGCCATGGCTTTGTCTTCGGCGTTCCACACAACGCCGCCCATACCGAATTCTATTGTCATCACACACAGCACAGTAGCACAATACCCACCAACCAAAACAATTGAATTTACAGAGGCTAAATAGCAGAATATAAATATAAAAATCCAGTCTCTTTTCCTATTGACAAATTCCAAATCAGATACACTCAACAATCGATTATAAGTCAATCCAATTCAACCCCATCGCAGCTTTTGAAAAAGAAAAAAAATCGATCTTTTTCGGCAGAAACCCAACCAGCTCAGATCTCAAATACTATTTTGTCAATTAAAAAAAAACAACGCTTAACACAAAAATCCTCAGAAAATAGAACATGTAAGAAGAACAGCGATTGGAGGAAATTACTCACCAGAATGTTTGGTCGTTTGAATTTCAAAAGAAGTGTAAGATTAATTAGGAGGAGAGAAAGAAAAAAATCGTGAAATAAACGATCAAGGAAGAGAAAGCTAGGATTCTTCAGACCTCAGTGAAAGAAATTTGATTAGTATTTGAAGAAGTTTGGGTTTCCTTTATCGCTTGTGTTTCTTCTGTGTTTTATTTTAACATGCCCACGCCTATGCACGTGAATGAAATGTCGATCGGTGGGTTTGGAAATGGCGGAAAAAGTAACCATGGTTAAGTTAAATTGAAGATACTCGTGTTTGTTTACCCAATCAAATTCGTTAAACGTTGGGAATTTGTCGACAGAAGAGGAAAGTAAATTAGTTTAATGGATTGATAAAAAAAACCTAAAATCGACGGTCAGTAATGATCAATAATTTGTAGATGGAAACGTGGGGAGCTGTTGGACACGTGTGGGATGGGAAACGTATTCACGTTTCAGAATACGCTCAAACTCCTATGTCAACGAAAAGCACGTGACACCAACTTTAATTTAAGCGTGGTTGCGTGTATGGAGCACGTGAAATGTGATACATTTCCTTTTCCTTTTTTAACCCTTGTCTTTCTCGTTATGATGATTATATCCAGAAGTGGTATGGGGTAGGGCTGCAAATTGGGAAATAAATTCCAATCTCATTATTCTTTTTGCATTAGGATGTTTCTCATCTATATATATACCAATTTCAATTTAAGACGTATTAGCATATAAGAAATATTGGGGCTGTATTAATCTAATTGGGCTGAATGTTTTAAATTCGAACCTTTGGGCTAAAACATTAATATACTTGATCGGGACATGAGGTACCCAATGAAGCGAAGCCCAGTCACCAGAAGATCAGCCCACTATGATCTATTAATCCCATAAAAAGATAAATAAATAAAATTTATTATAATATACATCAAACTAGTAACTCACCCGTGCGATGCACGGGAATCTATTCTAAGATTGTAATGTATTAATGACTAAAACACGTCGATTATGTAAATGTAATACCTCTATGAATGAAATGAGGGTGTGCTAAGCCTAATACTAAAAAATTAAGATTCAAATCACATTTATTGATTTGATAATAACAATAAATAGTAATGTATTAAACAAAATCAGAAATGATATAATCAAGGAAACATAAAAAAATAACCAAACAATCAAATCAATTAATCCATCTCGTAAAAATTGGCTAATGGATATAACAAAGTCAAATTAAAGATGTGAAAGCATGACTTTTAAAATATTACCACTTTTACGTGTTTATTAGGTACAAAATATTATACTCATAATTTATTTAGCATAATACAGAGATTGATTTCATACAATAATAAATTGAAACCTAAATAATATCAATTTGTATATAACAAAGGCAAACATAACAAAAATAAATAAACAAATAAAATTTCATATCCTTAAAATTAATATTTTTAATAAAAATATCAAACAAATCAAGTCATTAATCATATTATTAAAATCATTATTTTTCGTAAGAATATCAAACAATTCAAATCAAATTATTATTTTATTTTGATGTAAGACATTTTTTTTCTAAAGTATAAGTTGATATGCAAAATAATTATTACAAATACTTATGTTACAATATTATCGGGAAAAAAAACATCATAATGAAAGATGCGAGGAAAATTAAATAAATAAAGTAAATTATATAATTAACAATTATTAAAATAATTAATTCATAAATAAATGTAATAAAAAAATAATAATAACATGTATTGATTTGATAATAACAATAAATAGTAACGTATTAAACAAAATCATAAATGATATAATCAAGAAAACATAACAAAAATAACCAAACAATCAAATCAATTAATCTATCTCGTAAAAATTGGCTAATGGATATAACAAAGTCAAATTAAAGATGTGAAAGCATGACCTTAAAATTAATACTTTTAATAAAAATATCAAACAAATCAAGTCATTAATCATATTCTTAAAATCAATATTTTTCATAAGAATATCAAATAATTCAAATCAAATTATTATTTTATTTTGATGTAAGACATTATTTTTTTTATAAAGTATAAGTTAATATGCAAAATAATTATTACAAATACTTATGTTACAATAATATTATCGGGAAAAAAAACATCATAATGAAAGATGCGAGGAAAATTAAATAAATAAAGTAAATTATATAATTAAAAATTATTAAAATACTTAGTTCATAAATAAATGTGATAAAAAAAATAATAATCTAGCTAATAATGCATTTTATTAACTAATTAATTCATTAAATACTTAATGAAATAATATTGAAATATATTACTTATATATATATACACCAAATATTAAATTATTTATGACAATTTAAATATATTTCATTCCATTAATTGACATATTACTATTCCATTAATATCTGTATAATTTCCTAAGATTGAGTATCTAAAAAGGACAACTCGATACTACATTTTATTCCATTAATTGACATATGACCATTCCATTAATATGATAATGCATTAATAAAATAAATTAATGTAAAATTATAAAACAATATAATTACGATAGTAATTTAGTGATGATATATTAGTACTCAACATTTCAATGTAGTTAAGTAAAACAAATCAAGAAAAAAAGACGAAAACAATAAACTTCCAAAACAAAAAAACGAAACAGGTGATCCAACTTTACGCAAATTAAAAAATAAAATATATAAAATTTTAAATAGCGAAATTGCATATATATCCATATACTAAACGAACTTGATGAAACAATATTAAAAATAATTACAGAAATATATTAGTGATGATATATTAGTACTCAACATTTCAATGTAGTTAAGTAAAACAAATCAAGAAAAAAAGACGAAAACAATAAACTTCCAAAACAAAAAAACGAAACAGGTGATCCAACTTTACGCAAATTAAAAATTGAAATATATAAAATTTTAAATAGCGAAATTGCATATATATCCATATACTAAATGAACTTGATGAAACAATATTAAACATAATTACAGAAATATATAAAAAATTTAAAATTGTTAATTGCATATTATTTTTTACATTTATCACTTCGATGACGGTAGGAATGAAAAAAATGAGTATTTTTTCTCGCACAATTCATATGAGATTCACGAAATTCTTTCTACTGCTTTGACGCAACCGATGTCATCACACATAGCACATAAGTCGATGTTATCCATAATATCTACAAAAATAACATAAACAAACAACAAATAACATGTTAGACTAAATATATGTATATGTGTAAATAACCATTAGAAACATTCATTATATCAAAATAATGAAATAAAGAACATGTAAAACTATGAATATATGAACAACAAAAATTACAAAAAAATAAAACCTTTCCTCTTTGCAGCCATTTCGGGCATGACCTATTTTTATTTTTATGTGAGTATAAAATTCGGGTGGAGAGTATGAGTGAGTGGAATGGATTGGAATGAGGGGTATATATTTATACTTTGGTTTTATACAATAAAAAAGTAAAAAATAAGTTATTATGGAAATACACATTTAATATTACAATCTTAACCAATTATTGTTGATTAGATATTTTCCATGAATTAGCCATATGAATCAAATCCAATCAATTTAAATAGATAAGAAATCAAATTATATAACATAAAATTGGGGAATTTATTGACAATTTATAGTAAAAAAAAAACATTTAAAATTCAAATTTTGGAATCCGAAAATTTAAATTTCAAAACTTAAACGTTGTTAGTTATTAATATTTATAAAATTAAATTAATACAAATATATTAAGTTGGGAAAATATTTAACCAAAAACAAATCCATGTATGATGATGAATTAATTTATTGATATATTGATCATTTGAATTGTTAATGATTTGTAAAAATAATTATTATCAGTACTATTATTAATTTTGAATATTATTATTGAAAAACTAAATTCGAAAATATATATTATAAAAAAAATGAGTGTTCTATTTTTTTTTAAAAGACATTCGAAAAATATATTTCGGAAAATTAAATTAAAACGTGACATAAAAACAATTAAATAACCATGTATAAATATAATTATGTTTATTTTACTATAAAAAATAGTGTGTAAAATATGATATAAACATTCGAATACTCGTTAAAAAAATGAGTGTTCTGAATTTTTTAAAAATAGAAAATAATATTATATAAAATATAATATGTTTTAGAGTTTACTTTATGTATACTGTAGTTATATATACAATCTTTGTCATTTACTTTATGTATACGTTATTTAAAATATACTGTATAATGTATTTATAATATACTGTATGTACAATTCGAAATATGGTATATTAGAAATTGTTAAAATTTAAATAAGGTATTCGAAATATACTGTATAATCTATATATAATATACTGCATTTACAATTCGAAATATGGTATATTATAAATTGTTAAAATTTAAATTTTCAAAATATTGAATATTTATTAAATAGTATAATTATTTTTAATTTGAAATATGGTATAATAGAATATATGAAACACGGTATAATAGATATTATATACAAAACATATTGTATATTTATTAAATAGTTCAATTAAAAAATAAAACATTTTTTTTATAATTATTTTTAATGGAATGGATATTCGAATATTCCAAAATATTGAAAAAAAAGTAACATATTCCTTTATTTTAAGTATTTAATATTAAAAAATGTTTTTTTCTGAAAATTCTTTGAATATTCGTAAAAAAAATGAGTATCATAAATTTTTCAATAAATATATTTTGAAATACCGGAAATGTAAATAAGATTTTTTTATTACGAATTTATAAAATATTAATTATGGGAATAATATATATACACGTGGTAATTGTTTAAATGAGTGTATAAATGTTAAATAGGAAATAACTTAAATACATACCAAACTAAAATTGACAACTCACCAATTGAAGAATCCACATCATCAATTGAACTCCAACTAAGCAATTTTGATAAATGACATCATCATTTGCCACATGTCAATCATTGAGGACATAGATCCTCTTTTTATATTATATATAGATTGTTTCTTGTTAGTCATCAAACACCATTGCTACGTGGCAATATCTCTCTTGTACTAATCCTAGAAAAGCATGACAATGCTCATTACCATTCTTGTATAAAATGTAATGTTTGGGCAGTAGAAAGAGACAACGAATTCATTTTGCAATAACACTCTCTTTGTAGTCTCAATTTAATATTATTACAATATATATTTCTCAAGTTTTGCTGCATATACGTATATATGAGTTACTAATATTTATTATTCTATAACACGTTATCAGCACGAGA